TTGAATTCAGTTATAATATTCATTCCCTTTTGCACTTTCTTTCATGGCCTTCGTATTCTGGCATTTTCATTTGTCGCATGCGAAGGAGAGAGAGAGATAGAGAGAGATAGAGAGAGAGAGAGAGAGAGAGAGAGAGAGAGAGAGAGAAAGAGAAAGATTGAGTGCCAAGATAAAATCGTTCAATATCGTTTGTTGTTTTTCATTCAAATCAATTTTAAGACTTATTCAAGTTACGTAAGGAACGACGCCGAGAGCCATAAAATCGGTCGATTTTCAAAATTTCGGTATCTTGTCATAAATTGACCTTTTTTAATGAACGTGTAGATTTTTATCGCATTTGACATACTCTGTTGATGTTCATATTTAAAATGCAAACTCTGTCGATTGTCCAAACACTCGAGCATTGTATTCTATTCACATTCGTTTTGTTTGAATGGTACTGTCATCACCTTCATTCTCTCACAACAAAACTCATCTACGTAAATACTTTGTAAAACACTCATAAGTGTTGCTCGCAAAAATAAAACTCATGCTCATTTTAATACAAATGCACTTTGCAATGAAATCATGCATAATTAATTGTCGAATCGTTCGCTTTGTTGCCCATTTAATTGAGCTTGAATGTCAAATGATAGTATCGTCGCGTGTTCTTTGATTTGTCCTAATGATGCAATCCATACCATACGTGACAAATTTCTATCGGTGCTTGGCCATCCATGAGGTCATTTTGAATTATATTTAATTGGCAAACAGAGATAAAAGTCGATGCAATGGGAAATGGCATGCTAATCACAAAATAAATAATAATTTAATTGCACACCACAACTGAACCGAAACGCAAATAATACAAGTGTCCGGAACTGAGCAAAACCATCAATTTTCGATTGTGAATCAAAGCCAAATTCTGTGGTGTAATTTAAGTGATTATCATGTGATAAAGGGGTGAAATTTTTATTCATTTGAAACAAAAAAAAAATGCTCCATGTGAATCATCTCGTCGAGATTCAGTCAAAAGTAAATATTATGATTTTCTTTTCATTAGATTTGCATTTCGTATGCGCGCTTATTTCGTAGCGCACCTTTAACCTACGCCAACGAAATTCGTGGAATGCGAGCGTGCACAAACACATTATAAATTCAATGCAAAGAAGATGTTCGCATGTTGTTTGGCACATTGTTTTTTATAATTTTTCTCTCGTTTAGTTAGTTTATGCATCGTTTGGTGAGTATAGTTGTTTGTTGTCATGTCCTTGACTATGTCAACGCGAAATTCTCGAAAATTTTTATTTCTTTTAAACTTCACTTATACGGCGTTCCCTTATTATGGCATGAATTTTTACTCAAGTATAACGAAAGCATAAAAATGAAAAAGAAACAGCCGAAAACAACTTAGCGCAAATGGTTCATTAAGAAACCAAAAAAAAATGTGTTGCGATCAAAAGCCGAAAATGGTTCTTTTGGTGGAATTGATACACAAAACACAACTATTATCTACTCGAAACGGAGAGTGAAGAGAACAAGACATGTAAACAGCATTTTGTTGCTTTGCCTTAAAAATCTGTCATGTGAATCATGCTCAGGGCATTCAAAAACAACAACAGCGACAAATTTGTAAGGCTTGTTTGTGTGTAAGCCGTTGGTGTGAACTGAGCAACAACAAAACAGTCGACAAACAAGAGATAACATGAAATTGGAAATGAGAGTGACGCAGAAAAGAGAAAGAGATAAAAAAGAGAAGAAAATGGTTTTAAAGCCGAGAACGAGAGTAGAAAAAGAATGAACATCGGCCTCATAATAATTCTACACAAGTTAGTAGTGATATGTTAAAACAATGTTTTGATAGCAGTAGCGGCAGATACATGGAAAGCTATGTTAAAAGTGAATTAATCAAAGCAAACAAGCGAAAGAATCTCGTTGAATATACACAACGGGTGAATAATATGGTAGTTACTATTCTAAGAATGCAACCAAAAAATCTTTTTTTTCGACTGCTTTTTATTTCTCACACCCGAAAAAACCCGACCAATTTTCAAATTCAAACGATGTAATAGACATTTCCTTCTTTCCTGTCGACAAATACGGTTGGGAATTTTGTTGTGATTTGGGAATTTTTCACTTTCAAATAATATTCTAATTTATCAAAACCACCATCGGATTACAGAAATAACTTTTCTTTCGTTATGAATCTTTCTTTTTTTTTTTTCATTTCAAATACTCGTTGTGCTTGTCATATTTTCTGTTTAATAATAATTCCAATGAAAATGTTGTATTTTTCCAATTAAAATCCCTTTCTCTTCGAAACTCAAGACCATTAATCTGAATGTCATGTGTATGAGAGTGTGTCGAATGAAAAATTGAGAATCGATTCGATTTGATTATGCCATCAAAAGAACTGCGGGGTTTTCATTGAATTATATATTTACAGTAAACAATGGTCAATTGTGTTGGCTTGCGTTAGATGAAAGTGAATGATTAAATCGGAAAGTGTATGATCAACAATTACATATTTCATAAGAAAAACATTTTTGCACTCAAAACACATGCAATAAATAATTCATAAATTTTAATTGAGATCATAAAAAATAGGGGCCAATCAAATGCAAATCGAATCAATTATGTAACAAAACAGCCAAATATGGAATTTTTACGCTGGAAAACAATAATGAAACCCTTCATTCATCAATTTTGTTCAAGCAGCCACTTTTCGTGATTTGTGCGAATCATATTTTTGACCTCAATTGTTGTTTCCCACTTTTTTTTTGCAAACGAAATCTCTCAGCACATAGACATTTATTAATGATTTATGATTCACGTAGATACATTGGATATTATGTACCGAAAATGAAACACACTGGCGCTATGACGTTGAATAAGTACCCAAAAAGAGAGCATACAGAGAATAGATAAATATTCATCAATTGACGAAGCATTAGAGTTTTTTTTTCGCTTTGCCATGAGCAAAAAATGAAAAAAACAGTGTAATTCATGCAAAGTTCAATTGAAGCATAATTTATGTGAGACCGACCGTAATATTCACATCAACAATGCATCAAGTTCGGTATATAGCATTCAGACTATTAGTTGAGACAGGCTCATTGTTTGCAACACTGATACCACCACGGCCACACATACATTCTGGGTTGGCTCATCCGCACGACCATTATGCAACTTATAAATAATAATATACGGTGTTACATTTTGCAATTATACAGCAGGAAAATGGAATTATATGGTGAAAAATAATGGATTACTTTTAATGCCTACGCCTTTTCGGTTGTTGCACACAGAAATTCGAATACAATCATTTTGAACGATGGAAAATTGCACACAAATCTAGGGGATATCCATGCGAATTAGAATTAGCACATTAGCAAAAAAATAGGGACACTTACATGAAGAAAATAGCGAAATTAGCAATAAATAGCAGAATTAGCACTGTACACGTATATACTTTAGTAAGAATTTATTCTTGAATTTATTGCAATAATTAATTAAAATAAAATTCACAAAACAAACGAATTGAATAGTGTTGAACTAAAATGTATCAAAATATGTAGTTAAATACGCTTTTTCCCATTTTTAAATAAAAATATATTCAATGGCACTTAACCAAGCACGTTCCATCTGTATTAACTACAATTTACGAATTGCAATCGGAAATGTAGATTTGATGACAGATTTCTTACTGAAAACGTATACGTCTCTGCAAACGTAAAACTTGACGTTTAAGGCTTGGTAAACAATAATATTTTATATGACAAGTACTCACACGATATTCAATTTTTCTGCTTTAGTATTTTATCAATCAATTTTGAATTTAAATAATTTTAATTCAATTGAAAAATATAAAATGAATGAAGCAGGCTTGGAAGCACAAAGCAAGTGGAGTGTAATCAAGAGAAAAAAACACTTAAAAATTATTTTAATAAAATATATACAGCCCGAAACTTGATTTAATAGCACTGATGTTGTAATGTAGATAATAATTTCAATATTCAAAGGACTGAAACTTCAATAAATAGAAATAGATTACATGCCTGCTTCAAATATACACGTTGAAAGTGTCAACTTGAAACATTTACGTAAACACATTTCGGTTATTCGATCATGCAGTCAATCTGACGTATGCAATATTTTTGACGTACTAGAAAAATTAGCAAAAACTAGCAGTATTAGAACAAACTAGTAGAAATACTAGCAGAATTAGTGGAAAATAGAGAGAAATAGCGTTTATTATTATAAATTATTCGATCTGCAATTCATGGTTATCCCCTAGACACAAATGATGCAAAATGTGATCGAAGTGACAAAGATAACGAAGGAAAGAGAACGAGAGAGAGGTGGAGATAGAGTGAAAGAGAGAGGTAGAGAAAGAGTGAGGTGACAGGGACATAGAGCAAAGAATGTCATCGGTGCCATTGTCTGGGGTTGACTATTTTAAACCATAAAAATCGGTTGGCGCAGCTGCTTATGTTTGTTGACTGTCGCTATTGTGTACATTTTGTACAATATTTATTCATTACATATGGTCGTTTGTAGCGAAAAAAATTCATTGCATTGCTTTCAATTTAATGTCATACACATATCTAGTGTTATAATCAATTTGATACCCTCCAATGCGTTTTCCAACATCAATCAAATGAATAGATCGGCCTTTGATGTTTTGTCATTAATTGTATCTGTCTCCATTCATATTGCAATTGCTCTAATTTTAGCTGATGTGATTCCTTCAAATGATTTTTTAACATTTTCAATTACATCGCTTACAAAAGTAGATAACAATACAGACACTCAAACAGCTGGAGACTATTTTTAGCATAATATTGCCACGTGCCGTCATATTCCACAAAATAAAAAGTTTAATGGATAAAATAGAAAAAAAATGCAGAGTACAAAAGCAAAATATGAGATATCTTTATATTGCACATAAAAATTAATTTTCGCTTTTATTATCAATAAAAAAAACTCTAATTTCAATTTGTTTTTGTTTGTTGTTGCAGACGTTTCTGGGCTATCACAGAGATGGAATAAGTTGCGTCGTCGATGTGCATCATTTAAGGCTGTGTCAGGACCAACATCGTTAGATTCGGATGCCAGTTATATTTTGACGGAGCCAGTGACACAGTATGCAGTCGTTTCAAGTGATCGACATCAGCGTTCATCGTCCGTAACACCAACCATTGAATCATCAACGAAACCAATTCGACCATTTTCATGGCGCAAAAGTCATTCGGTTGAAAAGTACGAATATCGTGATGTAAACTTAAACAGTTCAATACCCGAAAAGATCAATAAAAGCATTCCATTGCCAGAAGACTATTGGAAAATTCATGAGCAAGACGTAAAATTGTGGAAGATTGGTTGCGGCACAAATCGTCCGATGTCAATGCGAGACATTCCAAATGGAAATGATTGGGAATTTAATGTGCAAAAATATGAAATCGAAGAGCGTCGTTCAAATCGAATACAATATTATACCGGTGATGCCGATACAAATCGAAAACATAGTTTGGATGCTGGTGAACGTAAAGAAATCAAATTTCCCGGTTTAAAAGCATTCAAATCGGCATCAATGCGTTTGCCCGGCCAAAAATCATCATTGCAAGAGGTGCATCAAATGCTACGCAATAAATTCAATCGATTAAATGTTGGTTTACGTAAAAAACGAACATTATCGGTGCAAGAGGTGTTCCAGTCACCGGCTAGTCAACAAAAAGATTCGATAAAAACACCAACACAATTTTATGTACCATCACCGCAACCATCGACAAAATCCCATCTCGATGATACCATTTCATCGACTAGATGTCATGTTAGCACAGAGGTTACATCACTTCCGTATTATGTAAACAATGGCAAAACATTGAATAATCAAACAAGCCCAGTTCGATCCACTTCCCCGAACAAATCATTTACATCGAAAAATGGCGATGCAAACATAAAATCAACGGTCACACGTACCGAAAGCTATCGAACAAAAATAATCGTACCAGGGCCAGGTGACAATGAAAAGAAACAGTCGCCTGAAAATATTAAGCCAAAATTTATGGTTGGTGGCCGGGTGAGTTTGCGTGAAAAAATGCCAAACAAACCATCGACAGCGGTAAAAATTAGCAATGCTGTTCGTGAACGAATTCGTAGGCGTCCACGAAGTCATTCACCTGTTAAGCCAGAATCGGCATCAAAGACAACAAATGGCCGTAAGAATCGTGATTCAGGTGGATTTCTTGATCGAATCAATCGCATAATGAGTGTCAATCATTTGCCACCACCGCACGGCGGATCGCCGAACAATAACAATAGCTCAAATAACAACATGAATCGATCGAAACCAATCGGTTCACACGAATCATCAACAACAGCTGCCACAACCACGGCAACGGCGGCTACAAAAAAGATTCAAAACGATGAAACAAAAACGACCGCTACAACCAAAAGTCCAACCATCGAGAACAACAGTGTTAGCCACGTGAAGAAACAACAGCAACCACAAACACCGGAAACAATTTTCATACGTGACCGGAAAATTACCACCAAACAGGTAAAAAATCACGATCTAACATTGTTTTCTTTCTCTGTTATTTACTTCAATGCGCCATGTTTAAACGCAGTTTAAGAATAATCCTTTCTTCTGTTATTTCCACAACATTTCTTTTTTAATTGTTACAACATATTTGGAATAAGTGCCAATCATGAAAATGTCAATGCACGCTGGTAAATGAAAACAAACAATTTGCTATTTTCTCCGATTGTGACCCGTACATTTTAGAATCGATTTCATAGCAGAAAACAATCACATCAAATTGCATAAAAAAGTTTAATGACATTTAACCATTTATGTTTATGCTGCTGACAAAGTGATCTGTGCAATGTTTATGACACATTTTGCTTCGAAATAGAAGACGTCAATAAACCGCCTTCGGTGCACTTTCAATGTTAACTCTGGCATTTAATGAGAGAGAGAGAGAGAGAGAGAGAGAAAGAGTAGTGACTAACGGTGCTGCATATATAGATGCGCGTTGTTTAAATAAACATGCCGCATGCTCGCATTGACAACAATCATAAACATAGCACACAATTTAAACTTATAGATGAATCATAAAAAAAGACGAGGGCGATCATTTTCATGGTGTGCAAACGTTTGTACATACAGAGAACATCAAACGGCATTTTGTATGTAAATAAATTTGATTATTTTGTTTGTTTTTCTCTATTTTTAAATAGCGCAATTTTGAAAAAACCAGGCAGCAAAGTGTACGCTTATGACAACGCCCCGAACCGAGAACATGCATTGCTCTTTCCATTGCCATCGTTCATTCGGTTCGAACGAGATTCATATGCAAACAAATAATAAACTAAATTTTGTTGTCGTTCAATTTATATGATCATAGACCATTTCCCATCAAACAATTAACTTGTGACATTTTTATTCGAAACGATGTATACTTTTTTGGAAGCCAATTGCCTTTTAGTTTCTCACACCTTATGCAAACAAATTTCATGAAATAAAACGCGCAAACCCAAGTCTTTGTTTACATTTTTGAATGCATGCGGTAACGGCAGCGGCGGCGAGGTACAAAACAACCATTCTGAAATCAAATGGCAATAACTGAATACAAAAATAGCATGTAAATATTTACTAAATAGCGTTTTTTTCATATATTGATGATGGGATTTATTTCTTTTTCACAACTTTTCAGTTATTCCAATAATAACTCTCATTTGTGTCGTTGAGAAGAACCGCAGCGACACGTATTTAGAAAAACGATCTCATTCAAAACCATAGAAAATTGTGAAGCAAAGAAATGTGTGTGTGTGTGCACAAAAACCCATTCAAAATGAATATTTTGTATGCAAAATACGTGTTCAGGCTATTATTATTGGTTTGCATCGTATTCTCGGTATTTTAAAGAAATCAGGTGCGCCGTCGAACGATGTTCGACAATGTGTGTAATTTTCATTTGCATCGCACACTACGCCAGGTGAAATGTTCGACAACGACGAAAGGATGACGCATTTTTCGCTTGCTGCGGTGTGCCGAGAGCATATTAACAAATATGAAATTATTTCAACTCGTTCATATCTATTCTTATGGCATTAGTTACTGTCTTTACATTCACAAGCATTTCTTTACACTTTTTTCTTTATTTGGCTTATATTTTGGTATGTTGTTGTGTTATCGTTTTTTTCTTCTTTTCTTCAATTTCAAATGATTACGTGCACTGAAAAATATTTCTTTCAGCTTGCCCGTTTGCGGTTATTGCGTTGTATTCTTCATTTGTGTTATCGATTTAATGCAAAACCATTTCTTTTAATTCTTTCTATTTTGTTGCTTATTTGTGTACATTTATTGTTGTTGTTGTTCGCTCTCTGTATGCTCAATTTAATGTTCCATTGTGTGAAACCACATTTCCCATTCCCAACGCCACCTCATACATTCACATTTAAATTAGCCAATAAAAAAAGACACGAAACAAGCCGCATGCAAATTATAAATACAAAGAACGAATGTTTTGCTATCGCGTACAATGTACGCATTTCTAAATTGATAAATGTGTACAAAAATGAGCAGTTTCTTTTTCTTCCTTTGCGTTCAATCAAATCAGCATCTCATTTCAAAAACGGGTTCGAAATAAAACCACTGCGGTTCATTTTTTTTTTGTTTCGAAGCACAAATTAAAACGGGCTCTGTACAATTTCTCATCGGTTAATTCATGCTAATCACCCTTTGTACGTATACAATCATCTCAATAAGCCGAGAGTATTCACACCATAACGTCAAGTTATCATATCATTTTTTTTCGGAACCACAAACACTTTTCAAATCACACGCAATGGATTTTGATGGAAATGTTGTTTTAATCTGTTAGGTGCGAAATGAGAAAAAAAATCGTGTGTCAGATCATCATTTAGTTTATTTTACGTCAATGACACGTCCAAAATGAATTGAACCCATTTCAAATGTGGCTGATGTGAAAGACATGACTTACTATTTTATTCAAAGGCAAAAGTCGTTTCGAATAAAGTGGTCTTGGTTTTGCGGATGTAGCCATCGAAAAAGGCTTTCATTTGAACTGTAATGAAGGGAAATTGCATGAAAGTAAAGATGCATGACATCACATTGGAATTTCAATTGAAATCTATCCGAATGGAAATCAAACAAAAACGAATGAAAGTGGTTTTGACATTGGAATTTTTAAACAATTTCGGAATTTCAGCAATTCCACTTTATCTCTTTTTATATTATGTGTTCCGAGAAAAACGAAGAGTTTTAGTACGTATATCCCGGAATAACTCGTTCAACCTCGCTCTGTCTCTCGGGATAGAGAGCAAGCTTATAAATGGAAAACGGTCCACCTTAAATGAATGATGAAGTTCTTGAACAAGTGAATTACATGCGATTCACACTCATTTTCAAGGTAATAAACGCACATAAAATAAGTGAAAACGAGAAAAATGACGTAAAACTGACTTTTGTATGTTATAATACATCTTGTTACTGAAATGTATCAAAGAACAAATTAAGTTGTAATTGTTTCGAAAGCAAAAGTCTTTTCTCCGCTCACTTTACAAAAAGAACCACAAACGGAATGAATTGTGTGAGAAATTGTGTTTGTTTGTTTTTTTCTCTCTCTCTCATCTTCTTCATCTTTTCTTTGAATTTGATTTCCATACGTTTTTCACGTATGGGTTTGATGAAAGGAGATGCGTGCGTAGGTCTTTAAAAACATTATACTGTAAAGGCATTGAATCTCAAAACCTTGCAACTTGTCTGCCACAAGTAACAATAAATATCATCTGAGCATAATAATGCCTTTTTGTATGACGCATATGAACCACTAAATCAATTCATATTTCACCGGATTATTAATTGATCCACACAGAATCTCTTGATACAAAAAGATTGTTAAATAACAAAACATAAAACCACAATGAAGACACTAGTCGCTTTTTTTATGAAAGTGATATTGTACATATGAAGTGAGTGACTTCTACGGGAAATTGAACATATTTTTTACCATCTTTTCAACATTTATAAACTCAATACCATTGAAATGTATCGCCCGATGACATCGGAATTTGATAGAGTTCAACAATATTATTCTTGTGTCTTTTTCTTTTGTTATGAAAGAATATAAAGAGTGCTCAAGTGTTCGATTCTTGAATTTCAAGAACCGATTTCATGAGTATGGACATGAATGGTGATGCATTTTATTGAAAAGGAGCTGATTGAATGGAATTTAAATGAATATCCAATTTATTTTATCAGTAATTTGCTCATTTTAAAACGAACATAAAAATTTGACAGAAATCGGTGCTACATCATCATCATCGAATTTAAATTGACTTAACTCAATGCGATACCAGTAAATAGATTTGGGAAAAAACTCATCTCCCAGATCAAATTCGTAATTTGGATAATGTCGATGAGTCGTCAAATTATAAAGCAGAAAAAAATAAACCCGTAGATAGGGTTCAAGACTACCGTAATACGTTTGCATCGTTCGCCTCTGTCGCTGATCAAACCGTGAAAATGAACGATAGGAAGCTAATACCAAACGAACCACATTCGTTTTATCTTTTTTAATTGAATGGAGCCCGTTTTTCTTTTTACCGCATTTGACCTCCCATTACTTAACTTATTTATTCTTTTGTTGCCTCCTTCATTTCTTTTTAATGCAATGGTTCGACACTGCATTGATAATTATGTCGGTTTGCAATAGAGTAGCTCTATGTAGCTCGCTCACACACCGAAAATGTTACCTGAACTAAAAGAATGAAGAAAGTAAGAAAAAAAACAGAACGAAGAAAGAATGGAAAAATATGGCGTAAATGACTTGCATTCGAAGTGGTTGCTTTCTATAAATGATCCCAGACCATATTTAATTTTTCATCATCATTATCAGAAGCGGGCATGTTTTCGATTTATCATCATCGTATTTTCCCGGGCGATTTGTGTTCGTAATGACGGAAAATGATATAATTTTTATCTAATTATAAGTGTTCATTTGTTTAAAAAAAACGGGCAACATGTATAATTCCAAGTGTTTGTGGTAGTTCCTTTTTTTTGGGTAGTATAACGCGTCAAAATGTAATGGCAACAACTGAAATACACGGCGCTTGATAACACAGAGACAGACATCAGACACACACCATTCGTTTGTTGGCCCGCATACATTGCACTCGGAAATACACTCGAAATTAAAAACGGCAATAAATTAAACCACTAAATGCTCGCTTCTTTCGTAAATGATAAAAATAAATGAGCGACTAAGCGGAAGATTCAAGCATTTAGTTGACAAAAACATATCATTTCACTTCCATTGTTTTGTAATGTGAAGCGTTGGTCGGCGAGTCGTTGTCATCGTTGAAATTTCTATTCAAACAAAAAAAGCACACCATTACATACGACCTCCATTCAAAAATAGACTCACTGTAAAGCGGTGGCGTACAAAGGAATATTTATTATAATATATGCTGTGCATACGATGAATACGAATTAGAAATGTGAAAAGTTCATTGTGACTATTTGTCAAATGC